ATGCGGGGGGGGGGGGGTGAGATATGGCAGATGCTCAGATGCCGATCACAGTAGGTTAAACCCTGGCTTTGCCACAGCCCGGTGCTGAGTATTGTCACTGTAGGTAAACAGCCCAGTACTGTCACTGTAGGTAAGTTAGTAAACTATGCTGGGTAAAGCCTTCCCGCCAGCCTGGTTCCAGAGCCACATCAGTCCCAAATGAACACACAGGAGGCTATATTAATTATGAAACTGTTGGCAGTTTGCTTGTTTCTTACTGGCTAGCTCTGACTTAAGTATTTACCCCATAATTGTTAATCTAAGTATTTCTCTTACTGGAGAAAGGTTGTGGACTTCTTACTCCTATAGTGGCTACATCGTGGCTCCCTCTGTTTCTCCTTCCCAGAATCCTCCTTGACTCCTAGTCCCACTTATCTTGCTTCCCTATTGGCCAACAGTGCTTTATTCAACAACCAGTAAGAGACAGATTTACAGAATGGCATCTCCCATCAAAACTATTACGTTCTAGAGTCCTCTCTCTCTCTCTCTCTCTCTCTTTCTCTCTCTCTTTCCCTCTCCCCTCCCTCACTCCGCGCACGTGTGTGTGTGTGTGTGTGTGTATGTGTGTGTGCGCGCGTGTGCGTGCACGCGCACATTGGTGCTTAGAAGATGCTGGACGCTCTGACTCCTTGGCAAACTAACTCTTACCCCTAGAGGAGGGAAAAGGGGCCCCTTTCCCAAGACTTTCCTCTCCCCTTTGCTTCTCTTTTCCTAGATAACTCTGCTGATTGTTCAAACCCAGCTCACCGCCCCCTATTGGTGGGTTGCTGCCCTCGCAGTCCCCTCACTCCTCAAAGACTGCATCTGGACAACAGCCTTCCCACCTAAGTCTGCCTCAAGTTTAGCCCTGAGAATGTGGGGAAGGGATGGTTGACCTCAGGGTCCCCAGAACCTACCCGCTGTCTCCCATAGTTAACACCTCCACGCAGGTGGGTAGGCTCCAAGGACCAGCCTCCCTGAGCACCACTTTACTGTGGCCCATGGTGGGGAGACGGTTGCTGCCTCAGTTGGAGACCTGTATCTTGTTCTCTTTACCTAAGCAAAATAGACAGTTGGGTGATTATCGAGTAACTCCGGCGAGGGAAGCAGCCAGCACACATGTGTGTATCCAAGTTGCCCAAGTTGGCCTCCTCCCCAGCCTGTAGTTACTGGGGTAATTGCTCAATCTTCTACTTGGCTTTCCTCGTGTAAATGTGGCTGCAGTGTGCAGCCTCCTCACCGGCTCTGGTCTAATGTTGCTGAGGCCCCTTCTCTTCATCAGCAGTAGCGTTACGGGCCATCAGCTCACTGTGGTCCATTAGTCCTCAAAGAGGACTCAGAGGTCGGCGTGCTCACTGTTTGCTCTGTGTCCTGGAAGTCTCTGCTGACTTTTCTGTGATTCTGTGTGTGTGTGTCTCTTTTTCCCTCTGTCTCTCTCTGTGTGCATCTCTTTGTCTGTCTCTGTCTCTCTCTATCTCTGTCTCTTTCTGTATGTTTCTCTTTGTCTCCCTGTCTCCCTCTCTCTGTCTATCTCTCTGTCTCTGTCTCTGTCTCTCTCTCTCTCTCTCACACACACACACACACACACCTTCTGTCATGAGTTTCACACTGTGGGAATCTGCCACAGCGTTGTCTTCAAATGCAGCTATTGAAAGATCCCCTCCTCATCACCCCTGACCACAGATCACTGGAGCCAGCGTGAAGGTCTCGGAATTAGTTTTCGTGTATTGGTGCCACCCTGGCACACTCCAGAGCCACCTTAGAAGAGAGAACTTCAACTGAGGTGATACCTCTTCTCTAGGACATTGGTGTGTAGGCAAATCTGCTGGGGGCTTTTTCTTGATTCATGGTTGCCAGGGGAGGGCCAGACCCCTGTAGGCACTGTAGGCAATTGTCTAAGAATGCCGGCTGAGCAAGCCACAGGGAGCAAGCCGGTAAACAGCACTCCTCCATGGCCTCGGCTCCAATTCCTGCCTCTACCCTTCCCGCCTTGAGTTTCCGCCCTGATTGCTCTTCATAATGGATGGTAAGCTGCATGCTGAAATAAATCCTTGCCTCCCCTAGTTGCTTTGATCAGTGTTTTATAACAGCAACAGAAAGCAAGCAAAAGTGAGTCGTGTCTAAACCCCTGCCTTTTGCTCCTAAAAGTGCCTTGGACTAACTTTACAGGTGTCTGCTGCGAACCTGTCTCTAGAGCGTGTGGCTCACAGATCTCACTATTAACACGGAGTAAGTCACCTTCTCTCATCTGGGCTGCTTCCTTCCTGCTCCCCATCCCCCTGCTAAAATACACGGGACACAGATATTTTTCTGCTGAACCCCTTCCCGTGGCTTCCCGTCTACTCAGAAGAAATAGGGCATTCTGTGGCCCCGCCGGACACCTGCCTTTGGACGGTCCCCATTTGCCTGCACCCTGGAGCCCCCTGGATCATGCCTCATCCCCTCTCTCTCCCTTCATACACTTTCTTACTTTTCTCCAGCCACACTGCTCTTCCAGGCTGCAGTGAGTGAGAATAAAAGCAGGGTTGAGCCAACTGGGTCTGTGGTTACCTTTCTGCTATGTCTCATCTAGTGCACTTCTAAACAACGGTCATGCTCCGTCCACCCACCGCACAGGGTTGCTTGGAGAATGACATGACACACTGTCAGCCCTACATAAAGTAGTAGTTACTCCTGGAATAAGGGACCAAGTAAAGCAGGAGAGGGGCCCTTGGGTGGGAAAGCAACATTAGACTCCAGAACAAGGGAGCTCTCTCCCTCACGACCAGGTCTTCAGCTGCACACCACTCTACACCGAAGTGCGGTCGAGTCTTTGACTATCCCGGGCTGGAGCTCTTTAGTCTCAGCTGACACGCAGCCAGCCTGACCTTCTGATCAGCGCACTGCCTAGCCCACAGCCCTACCTACTCCCCTCCAGGGGCCAATTCTAGAAGACTGAGTCCTCTGAAGCAGAATTCATCTGATGGCCTCTTGTGGGCTCCCCCTCCAAACTCTGCAGATCTCTGTTTAGCTCTGGGGGCCCCCTAACAAAGACTCGGCGGTTCCCAGACCTTGGCAGTCAGACTGGCCCACTTACATCCTAGTCTCACGGCTCAGTGGGCCTCTGGGAGCCCCGAGAGCTCTACCAACTTTGTTTATGCCTTTTCAGCAGAAATACCAGGCTGTGTTGCCAAAAGAGTCAGGCCTGTGTTCCTGCTGGGGCCCTTACCTTCGTACTAACGTGTGCCCACGGTAGCCCGGCGTGTCACACCTCCACCTGAAGCTCCCACCCCACGGCTGGCGTTAAGCAATCCTCGGGGAATCCTACGTCTGAGTGGATTTCAGACCAGATGCCTCCAAATGTAATTGGAGTTTTATTAAAGTTTAATGAGCTAATATTATAGAATTCTGCTAATAGCCCAGGGGAATAGGCAAACGCTGCACGTGGGCTTATATAATACTGTAATGATACAAAAAATTCCCGATGGGCAGCCAGTGAAACAAAACAAAACAAATAAAGACCTTGAAAACAAAACCAAGATTTTTTTTTAATGTTAAGCATGGAATTCGGGATTGGGTGTGGTGACACAAGGCTCACCTTTAGTCCCAGTAGGATGGCGGGTCTCTGTGACTTTGCTGCCAACCTGGTCTATATAGTCAGTTCCAGACCAGCCAGGGCTTCACAATGAGAGGCCATCCCAAGCAGCAAGCAAGTAGGAATAGAACCCAGGAGCCTCACACATGCCAGACAAGCACACTACCAGCAAAACACAGCCTCAGCCGTAAGCCCCCAACCACCATTCCTGGCTTCATAAATCCCCTCCCAAACGGTATCAGGAACTACAGAGAGTGTCACAAAATTTTTTGGGAGAAACGATGACGAAAAGGGGCGTACATCTGGACTGCTGTCTCAGCTCGGTGGCTGGAAGGAGAGTTAGGTGTGCTGACTTGCTGTCGCTATGGAGGGGGACCAGAAGCCCCGTGAAGCCCCGAGGGGGATTCTCCATCAGGTGATCAGAGTACCAGGTTACACCCTGTGAACCCCAAGGCTGTGGAGGTGGAAGGAAGGACAGGTTTGCAGTGAATATCTCTGCCTCATCGGGTCCAGTCCATGCAGGGTCTGCCCCTATACATCTACGGCTCAGTCGTCAGGGTCTGAGTTGAGCTAGGAACTTAAACACAGTTGAATGTCACTGGGTAATGGGAACAAGCTACTGTCCTTTTCCCTCTGTAGATGATACAATGATTTGAACTAAGGTGTCCCCCCACACCGTGTGTGTTTGTGTGCGCGTGCGCGCATGTGCAGAAATGCAGAAGCCAAAACAGGATGTTGGGGGGGGGCTATTGCTCCCTACCTTGTTGCCTTACAGAAGGATCTCTAGCTAAACAGCTCATCTCTTCAGCCTGGCTGGCCAGCCCGCTAGCTCTTGGGGTCTGCTGGCCTCCGCCCCCAGGGCTGCGTTTTTGGCAGATGCCACCATGCTTGGCTTTCCCCGAGTGCTGGAGGATTCAAATTCAGGCCCTGGTGCTTACAGAGCAGGCACACACTCACCCATGGGGTCATCTCCCCAGACCTGGGCCAGGGTCTTTTGATTTTTCTTTCCCAGCACATTTGGCACACCGAAGACTGAGAAAGAGTGCCGGTCTGGCGGTGTGGGAAGCTAACCAAGTAAGACACGCTGAGAACTTAACTGGCCCGGGAGGGGGGTTCAAAAATCACAACAAACAATTGGACTTATTTTGTTTATAGCCGAATTCCTTTCACTGACTCTTTTTAATCCCATGAAATCTCTGACTAAATGCTATTTGGCATCTCTCGGCTGCCAAGGTGTGAGTCAGTGGGTTTGGATAGGACGGATGTATTTGGTACCCAGCATCTGAGTGCTTCCAAACATCCAGACATCTTGGCCAGTCCCAGAGACACTGGCTCAAGCCTCGTTTTCTATTTTTTTTTTTTAGGTAGGAATTCTGAGTCACTGAGTGACAAGAGACAGAGCCTAATGGTTTGTTGCCGTCTGTTTACTCCGTTGCACTTGGTACATTCCATGCAACCACTTCTTCCAGAATGTGGGGGGCAGGGGGGGTAGCATCTAGCTGGTGCTGTCCTGTGGGAGCTCATCCTCATGGTGAAACCAGTGGGAGTACAGGCAAGTACCTCACAGGTGTCTGTGCGCCAAGAGGATGGAACCCAAGCTGGAGCCGTAGCTGTGAGGCGCCCCAGGACACTTCACTGTGAGGACGGGAGGCCCACGGAGCAGACAGCCTCAGGCTCTGGGTGATGTCGTATCAAGACCTCCCTTTTCCTGAGACAGAGGGGCAAAGAGAGATGGGGACACAGTGAGTTTGCGCTGATAGGCAGATAGAGTTTGCACGCTGTGACCCAGCATCTCAGCAGTGTGACTGGGGTTCCTGGAGGGGAGGGGCTCTCTAGTATCAGAGAAATGTCGAAACCCCCTTCACCTGTCTCTTGAACATAAAAACACCTCCGTAGACAGAAGTTTCCGTTCTGCCTTGTCCTGCAGCTGTCTAGTCCCAAATAAACACACAGAGGTTTATGTTAACTATAAACTGTTTGGTCAATGGCTCAGGCTTCTTATTGGCTAGCTCTCTCTTAATTATTAACTCATTTCTATTCATCTGTGTATCTTCATGATGCCTCAGCTTACTGGCGATGCTCCGGCCTCTTGTTCCCTGGGTAACTACACAGCGTCTTCCTGACTCTGCCCACTCCCTTTCGCTATCCCTGTTTGGATTTCCCACCTGGCTAAACCCTGCCTGCCCGTTGGCCCAAACAGCTCTATTCATCAGCCGGTGAGAGAAACACATATTCACAGCATACAGGATATCCCCACCACACCTCTCTGGTACGAACACTCCATGTCGTTGTGTGATGACCCACTGATAAACTCCATAGCTGTCATGTTCTGGCTCATAGAAAGAGTGACCTTCCTCTTTGCAAAGATATCTGGGTCATGGTACTCAGACTCAGGCATCAGGTGGTAAACAAATGCTTTCCAAGTTTCCTCCCTACAGCCTGCCTTCCGACCCAGGTGAGAGGAGGAGGGGGCTTCAGGAAGGAGCTCCGGGGTTCAGCAGGAATGTAGTTGGGACATAGTTTCCTGAGCATGTGTCTGAATTCTTCCGCCTGGAATGTTAATGTGGTTTATGTGCATTATCCTCAGGGCCTTGGCGTTTGGAATAGACTTTAGGAACCACTCATCTGCTCTTCTGATTTTTCCTCTCTGAGGCCTCTTTAGAAATAGGGACTAAATCAGATTGGCTTGGGCCCCATGCCTGGCGTCTCTGAGGAACTACCTGGGCTCTGCAGGAGAACCAATCCTCAGTAATTACCTTGGTGAGATGGGAAGTCTTCACCAGGCTACCTTAAATAGCTCTCAGACAGGCAGTGGTGGTACACACCTTTAATCCCAGCACTCGGGAGGCAGAGGCAGGAGGATCTCTGAGAGTTCCAGGCCAGCCTGGTCTACAAAGCTACACAGAGAAACCCTGCCTTGAAAAACAAGATAGCTCTCAGCTAAAAACTCTCTCTGGACAGTGAGCCCAGAGACTTCATGCACACTCCAGCCATGCTCTCTATTATCGAGCTAGACTCTCAGCCCTCTCCTCAGTATTTGTTTTGAGATAAGATCCCACTAAGTTTCCCACGCTGGCTTTGGTCTTACCCCACAGCCATGGTGTGCCCTGAATTTGGAGCTTTCCTGACTCAGCCTCCCAAGCAGTGAGGCTAAGGGGCTGGCACTGCCAGATGCTCTTGTTCTAAAACTTTGTCTTAAAAGTGGATGGGGGTGGGATGGGGGTGGGGAGTGGGTATGGGAGGACTGGAGGGAGAGGGAACTGGGATTGGTTTGTAAAATAAGATTGTTTTGAATTTAAATAAAAATTGACTAAAAAAACATCTCCCTGGACAATTTCAAATTCCAGCATTCTGTCCCTTTCTAGCGTCCCTTCTTTTGGAGAAAGGTGCAGGGTATTAGGTGCAGACTGAGCGTGCCCGGCCTGTGCCCACACCCACTTGCTCGGGACAAGACAGATCTCTATTGAGTGAGCCTTCAGCAAGGGCTAGGCTGAAGCCAGGAGGTAAGGCGCCGGCCTGGCATGGCCAAAGACCTGGATTGCATTTCCAGCGTCCCAGAAAGAAACAGTTTCCAGAAACCCAGACAACAGAGATCCACATCAGGATGAAGTCAGCACCCTGCACCAGGTGATCCCTTGGCATGCGCGATCAACTCTCAGTCCTTCCTGCATCCCATGAGTGGTCAACCATCCCTAAGTCATCTTTGGGTAGACCCAGTTGCTGTGGAGTGTTCGGCGAAGGTGCGTTACATTCACTTATGCTGTGGAATACTTGCTTGATGACGCAAAGATGTGTCCCGTTCTTTTATGTTTGTTCAGCTCCGTGAAGCTGCGTCACCCACGTTGACTGCCTAAAACACCTGGTTGGTCTAATAAAGAACAGCCCATTGCTAGGAGAAGGGATAGGCGGGGCTAGCGTGCAGATAGGGGGGGCTAGCCTGCAGATAGGGGGGGCTAGCCTGCAGATAGGTGGGGCTAGCCTGCAGATAGGCGGGGCTAGCCTGTAGGGAGAGAAAGTAGAAGAGAGAAGAGGGGAGGAGAGAGAAAAGGAGAAGGAAAGGAGGACACCAAGAGTCACTCACCCAGCCTCACAGCCAGCCGTGGGATAAGAAGGAAACATATATAGAAGAGAAAAGTAGAAACCTGTAGGAGGAAGTCTGTATGCCGCCATTAAACATGTGACTTACTAGAGGCGCATACAGATGAGGTAATAAAAGGGCGGTTTACCACACCCACTTTAGGCAGGACTAAAGACGTATACGGCTGGACGTAAAGACGTATACGTACGTAGGCGGAACTACGTCACTAGGGGGCGTTACCGGGGGAAGGCATAAAAGACAGCACACAGGAAGTCTCGCTCTCTTTTCCCGGAGTTCGGCTTCCGGTTCGGCAGCGGAAAACTGCTTGTCTCATCTGGGTTACTTGTTTGGTATCTTGTAATTTCTACAATAAATACTTAGTTTTACTTCCAGTAAGTGTCGCTTATCGTTACAGCGTCCTTTGGAGCCTACAGAAACCCAGAGGCAAAAAGGCAGATGGGATAATTTAAGAAAAGCTGGCTAGAAACAAGCCAAGCTAAGGCGGTGTGTTCGTAGTAAGAACAAGTCTTCACATATTTGGTAGCTGGGTGGCAGGCCTTCCACCTGTGGAGTCAGCATTAAACCTCAGCAATTTTGCTCCAGAGTGCACACTCCCAATCACCACACTGCCCTGTCTCCAAAAATATAAGATGCAATCAAGAAAACTGTATTCATTTTCAGTGCTGGAGTTCAAACCCAAGGCTTTGCATATGCTAGGCTGATGCTCGTAACAACTCGACACTCCCACCCCACCCCAAACACAGACATCCTAAACTATCTTAATTTACCAACTTGGAGGGGGGGCAGTTAAAACTTAACCTTTTCTACTGAAGACATTCTGAATCCGCACCACAACCACTGTGTCCTTCCACCGCCCCAAAGGTGAGGATCCCGACCATCCTTTCTGGTCTAAGGGGCCAGGCTCCACCTCTAGGGTCCTGAACAGGAAGACACTTTCTGCCCTGCTGAAGGTCCATCCATTTTCTGTCGGGTGACACAGAGCTACTGGATCCTGAAGAGGAAGGACACGGGTGACCTCAGGTGCCCATTTCTGCCCCTGGTGCCGCCCAGGGCCCTCCAGGTGAAGAGAAGACCCTGAACATTCCCGGCAATCGCGCTCCCACCCACCCCTGAAGTCCGTAGTCTTAACCCACACAACCATTTCCCCCAGGGGAAATCTGCAAGGGTCTGGGGGCCTACAGCCAGCCTCTGTGGCCCCCTTTATCATCTGTCCCCGAACTCTCCGTCCCCAAAGCCATCCTGTCTGGGTGTCAGAGCAAACCCCACCCCCTGGAGGAACTCACTACTCAAGGTAGAACTGGAGGGGACACAATGGTGCCCGGCAGCCCCTGCAATGCTCTCTGAACACTTCCGGCCCATCTTCCCCGCCCCCGTGGAAATTAATACGCTGGCTCACTGAGGTCAGGAGGAGCACCGGGAAGGCCGTCCCACTGTCCTTCCTTTGGGAGCCAGCTATCTGGGGAACAGGCTTTTCTGCCTTGCTGCTGTGAGTTGGAGCAGCTTGTTTCCGAGAACAGCAGCAATGGGACTCCCAGCGACTGGATCCTGGATCGAGACAGAGTGAGCCATTCAGCCTCTTGCAGGCCGGGAAAGGTTCCAGGCATGTCCACTCTGCAGCTGAAGCACGTGGCCAGAGGCAGCTACAAGTGCAGCTCAACCTAAAACCGTAAACTATTAAAACACTGTGAGAGGTTTTGCTGGTTTGTTTTTAGCTTTCGTACTTGATGGCGAGATTCTCAGGGGGCGAACTTTGTAGATGGCAATATTGTGTCACAGAGTCAAAAGTTTGGGCATGCCTGCCAGGCCGTGGTGATGATCTGAATTGTTGGCCGTTTTCTTCCCCTTTCCTTACTTTGTTAAAAAACACAGATTTTTAGGGCTCAGCAGGTGTTAGCCACTGTCTGAGGACCTCAGTTTGACCCCTGGAATCCGACCTCCACACATGTGCTATCGTGTGGGCATGCTCACTACACACACACACACACACACACACACACACACACGCACGCACGCACGCACGCACGCACTTACATACATATAGTCCCATTCACACATATACACATTTTTTCCCTCTTCCCAGAAGCCCAGCCCCTCTCCACAGAAAAGCAGCTCCTCAACTTCCCTTGTCCTCCCTCGGTCGACTGTGTCTGCCAACTAAAAGACATGAACATCCATCTCCCCAAGTGGCCCCCTGGGAGCCCTGTTCCCCGAATTGAGAGGATGGGAAGGGACCCTGCAACACTCTCCCCACAAATTTCACCCCAATCTCCGGTAACTTAGTGCGTGTACTCCCTCGGATCCAAGCAAATCTTGTAACAATTTCTCAACCATTGTGGTCAACCCCACTGTTCTTCTTGGACGGACCGTGGCCTTGTCTGGCAGCAGACACTAAAGAGAGAAGAGTTCTGTAACATCCTTTGATTTCCCAGTGGAGGACTTCTACAGCAACACACGCTCTATCATGGTGAGTAGGGGACTTGGGCAAACCACTGTGGACAAGTTTGCCATTGTGTGCCTTGAGGAACACGGGCAGGAATAAAAAAGGAAGTCTTGGGTGGCGTTGTGGCCTCTCCACCTTTGTATCAACTGTGACAGCTTTGCTTCTGTTTTCCAGTGAGTTTTAAAAAGAATGCACTTTATTTTATTGTAGCAGTACAGTTTAACTGTTAACTAACCCTGTAAGATGATGAGACTGTAGATTATTGGACTTTGTTGTTGGTATTGTTGTTGTTTATGACCAGGCTGGCTTTGAACTTAGAGATCCACTTGCCTCTGCCTCCCAAGTGCTGGGATCAAAGGGGTGTGTGCCAACATGCCAGGCCTGATAGAGTCTTACACAGAAGGGGATGAGAACAGTTTTAGGTTACAAAGCCTCTCTGCCCAAAACAAGCTTTCCAAAATAGATCACTTCTTTTCTTAGTGAGTCAGTGTGACAAATATATTCAGTGACTTGTCACATCTAATTCCCAGTGAATTCATGGTCAATGGAATTTTTCTTTAAGACAAACAAAAAAAACCCCTAACTTTCACAATTATACCTCAAAGGAAGAACAGATGTTGAATTCCTTTGGAGGTGAAAATGGTTCTTGCTACTTTAACACTCAGAAAATCAAATCCACCACAAGGAAAAACAGCTACGATGTAGTAGAAAGTAGGGAAAAATAGTTTTATGTCCTTTTCTGTGACTGCTGTCTTTTGCCAATATCCTATTTATTGAGGAATGAGCCTGTGAAAATTTATTCTATGTATTAACTGTTGTGGGGTATTCAGAGAATATTGCTTGGACATGGGTTTAAGCCAATAGAAAGTCTTTATTAGATGTCTGGCATCTACACTGGATGTTCAGGATCCCAGAGTATCACTGAGCCTTTCTCAGGGTGAGCTTTGAAGCACAAAAAAGATGTCTTGGGTTGACACACTTCAGTTAACAAGAGCAGTTAGCCAGAAGCAGAGCTCCAGAAGCCAAATGGCAAGGTCAGTTCATTTAGAGACTTTCCAAGAACTAAGGACTTTGATGGACTAGGTCTTTGTTTTCCATTTGGGTTGGTGGTGCTGTCTCCATACTGAGTTTCACAGCCTGAGTGGCACTTCCATCATGGAGTCAGTTGGGCTAAGGCCTGTGAGCCTGCTACATCAACTCGGAAAGGCTGCAGTGTCTTCAGTATATACAGCTCAGTCTAACTGTTTTCCCCTCACCGGTCTCTCAAAAATCTTCTTCCTCCTGTAGAAGGAAGCTTGGCTGAGATACACTGCTCATGCTCACTCCCGGAGGCCCCCTCTCTCCCCCCGGGCCAGCCTCCAGGGGCATCCAGCCTCTTTGCCTGTGTCCAGTACTCCATCTCCTGAGACAGGCAGTAGTCACTTTCCTCATCGCTGTTACAGAATATCCGGGAAACGCAGCCTAAGGGAGGGTCCACCATGGCTCACAGTTGAAGGGTCGGCACTGATAACACTGCATCCGTAGTCAGGAGGCTCTGCTGCCAGGCTCTGGGATTGGACCGTCATTTTTAGTGAGAGACTTCCATATCTATTAACCCATTATAGAAAGACCCTCACAGACATGAGGCGAGTCTAGATTTTATCAAGCTGCCAACCAATGTTAATCATCAAAGGGATTTGTTTCTCTCGGGGACAATTTCTTACTGCTTCTCATGGGGAATTAGTCAACGTGAAATACCAGCTGCCGGCGGCACTCGCCGAGGTCTCCTTTCCCTCCTCACGGCCGTCATCCTCAGATTCCGAGGACCCTCTGTCACCGAACGTGTCACACTCCTCAGGACACTAGTGACCGACGGCCGGAAGCAGCCGCCGCCCCCCTTCTCCCCAAAGAGAGGAGTTTCCCCTTCTTCACCGACTCAATCTGCATTGACTTTGACATCTGCCAGCAGCAACCATTCTTGATGTCTTGGCCTGTTCTCTAGAAAACCCTCCTCCGGAATTTCAGCAGGAACTACCCCCTGGTAGTGGAACCAGATAGCATGTTCTCTCTAGACAGCTCTGGTGTGATTTCCCAAGATAGCTTTATGGGAAACAGCTGGCTCCTTCCTGCACCATCCAACAGATAAACAGCGTTGTCAAAATACAAGCAGGCTGCTTCTTTCCTGGGATAAAGGAAAGCAAGACACCAGAAAGTAAATGGGGGAAAAATCGTGATTTTTTTTCCTTTTTGCTTTGTTTTCTTGTATTTAATCAAGCCAATTTTTAAAGAGAAAGTCAGGTGTAAGCTATTAGCTCAATAAGGCAAACACTATTATGTTTGTTTGCTTGTTTGCTTTGAGAAAAGGGTCTCCTAATTTAGCCCTGAATGACCTGGAACTCACTATGCAGACCAGGCTGGGCTGGAACTTGAAGAGATCTTCCTGCTTCTGTCTCCTGAGTGCTGGGATTAAATCCCACCACGCCCAGCCCTAAACTGCATACATATTAACAATATCATCAACTATGCAAATTAAACCTTAAGGTTAGCAGGAAGGAATTAGAAGTCTGTTCTGTTAACTCTTATACCGTTGCACTCAGCTGGTGAGTGAGGTGTCATTTACAGAAAACATGTTCCAAAACAAGAGCTTAGCATTAAGGGTCTCATATCTCTGTAACCAAAACAAGACAACCCCCCACCCGAAAAAATGCTCTGGAGGCTGGGTAATGGACTAAATAGGTAAAGTGCTTAGCTTGCAGATATGAAGACCCGAGTTGGGCTCTGGCCTCCATGTAAAACAACAGGTGTTCTGGCACGCACCTTTAATCTAGCGCTGGACCGTGGAGACGGGAGGCTCCCCAGAACTGTCTGGCCAGTCGGCCTAGCTGACTCAGTCAACTCCAGGCTTTGTGAGACACCTGGTTTTAAAATATTCACCAGCCTCTGGACTTTACGAGCGCGCACACCCACAAAATGTATGAAGTGTGGTAGCTTTACCATAGTAACTTCAGATGTTGGTGATGTCAAAACAATGATCATGGAGAATGCGTTCACTTCATTTCAAGTGTCGTCTGTCAATCATGAAAAACCCATCCTTTAAAAAGAGAAAGAAAAGCCGGGCGTTGGGAGCCAGAGGCAGGGGGATCTTTGTGAGTTGGAGGCCAGCCTGGTCTACAGAGTGAGTTCCAGGACGGCCTCCAAAACAATACAAAGAAACCTTGTCTCAAAAAACCAAAAAAAAATTATAAAAAAAGAAAGAAAGAAAATATCAACGATGTAACTAGTGAGGCCAAAGACCAGGGCGTCTCCATGTATCACTCTGTTCTTCATGCCACAATGTAACTGGGCTAACACTAGGAACTGAGTGAGTGGGAATACTAGTTAGTCAATGGCTGGATGGTTTTTCCTCTTAGCATGTTTGTGGTACACGTTTTCATGTATGTGCCACATGTGCGTGGAGCTGCCCACGCATGTGGGTGTACATGTGGGTGTTAAAGACTGAGGTCAACGTCAGCCGTCTTCCCCTGTGGCTCTCCACCTTATTTTGGGAGACAGTCTGTGCACCACGAACCTGGATGGACCCATCAATTTGGCTGGACTGGCTACTACTGAGCTCTAGTTAATCTGCCTGAAGGTGGGGGCTTAAAAGAGTCCACCAGACCCAAGATAAATGATAAACAGGTGTTTGTTAGGGAAGAACTTATGAGGATAAGAGTAAATAACCGCCACCAAGTCCTTCCTGCTCCAGAAGATACAGCCTCTGCCCCTCCAATGCTCTCAGGACCCAACTGAGTGTGCGCCAGCGCCACCTCTACCTTAATGGGTCATGTCTGCACCTGAAACCACGCCCAAAGGGTGTGGCCACTACTACAAGTCCACTGGCAAGTCAAGAAGCCACTGTATCTGTCCTGTCTTTGCCTCCACAACAGCAGGGTTATTGGCATTTTCTGCTCATCCTAAGAACACCCTGCTCTGCTGTGCCATGTTTTCACATGGGAAATGAACTCAGGTCTTCATGCTTGCACAGAAGCGCTTCATGGCCGAGCCATTTTCCCCAACCCTGTTTGGCAATATTTTATTCATCCATTTTCATCCATTAACAAGCAGTTTCTTTGTTATGCCTCTGTGCAAAGTCAAAAGACACCATCCCTTCCTCAGGTGTCTCATAGTCCAAGAAGGAAGACAGATGGACAACCAATGTAACCAGGAGGCCATGGCTCACAACGTGTAAGACTTCTGAGGGATAGACAAGAGAATGGCTAACTGTGTCCTGGGGACACAAGCGAATCACTTCTAAGAAGGGTTCCATTTAGCTGGTGGTTTACAAGGGAAGGCCATAGCAGTGATGGAATATGGAAAGTCTTTACCGAATAAGAAACAAGATCTCTTTTCTTTGGAGCTCTCAGGTCAAAGCTGTCTAAATCGCCTTGGGGTGGGGAATTGTTTAGTCATTCACAATCATGTCGATGAGGCTTCCTTAATCAAGATCATTTTCCTCCACGTATCTCCGGCTTTTGGTGACCTAGCTGCAGACAGATTATCTCACATTTTATGCTGTAATTAGTTCCTCCTCAGGCTAGAAACTGACTGGATGTGACAGTCAAGCTTGACATTTGCGTCCCGTTCTCCTTTTGTTTCCACAGGGCTGCTTTCTGCGTGATGGAATGTAAATACAGTGTCTAAAACAGCTATCATGTATTCTGTTCTAAATAAATAACTACTCACATACACTAATAAAATCAAGATTCTTTAATACAAACCATCCAAACATCACCCGGACTAGACCCAAGTAGGGGAGGACTTAAAGGTATACTTGGTAGGGTCAATTGTATTAGACCATGGAAATGTTTATCTTGCTTATTTATATCTGTGTATTCAGGAACTGGAAGTTTCCCTTAGGTATAAACAGAACATTACAATGTTTAAAATGTCTTAATGAGTAACACAATCCTTTCTGGGCAGGAAAAAAAGTCAAGCAATTCCTGGGCTAATAACAGTTTCATGTTAGTGGAAGTGTTAACGCTTATTTCGTGTTTTGTTCAAAAGAATTACAAGAATTAATTATGGCAGTGGTTAGATTTGTTAAACATCATAGCTTGTGTGCTTAAAAATGTTGATTTTGTTATGTGTCTTTAAAGTTTTAATACATTAAAGAAGAAAAGGGAGGGTGGAGAAGAAAATCGACCCAGTTTTATCATTTGGAAAAAATGAAACTTTAAGTCTCCCCCTGGACACAGCTCTGGATTCCTTCCCAAAGGCAGACACTTGGTATCCTTTAAGCAGAAAAATTAAAATCCGTCACCCACTGAGCCAAGTCAAGAATGAAGAGCAGAAAACTTTGGATTTGAGAAGATGTAAAAGGGTCCAAGACAGGAAATTGACTTGGTCAGATGTGTGGAAAATCGAGGCAACCCACAAGACCGTTAGCGCAGGTCCCCCTGCCCCTCGCTGCTCCCCACCCTTGGCCTGCTGTCTCCAGCCTGGGAGGAGTTATTTTGGAGGGGGTGTGCCAGCACCTTCCAAGAGAAAGGCAGCTGCAGTGTATTTCACTGGGAAGAGTGAGTAGGTGGTGCAGGTGATACTCAGCATGAAGACAGACCTGGGCACAGCGGTGCCTTGGACTCCCCTCCACTGGACAGACATCTCAGCTGCGAAGCTGACCAAGAGAATCCAGCTGCAATTTTTTATCCTTAGGAAACAGCAGCAGCAACGTCCCTGACCGCCTTCCCTAAGGGAAGCATGTCAGAAGGCGAAGGGCGCAAAGGAGATGCCCGTTACAGTCGGGCATGCTGGTGAACACCTACAATTTCAGCCCTTGGTGGAGGTGGAGGCAGGAGAACTGGGAATTTGAAGCCAGTCGGGGACTGCATGGCAAGACCCTGTCTTAAACATGAAAGCGAGGAGGCGAACATAAGATGACCGGGAGAAATGACCTCAACTCAAGACCAAAGCATCTCTAAAGACAGGTGGAGTCCTAGACCACCATGAAACCAGACTCTGTAGGGTGTGCAGCTTGCAAAGAGGCTTGTTTGTGAAATTACCAGCCTTATCTTCGAGCTGTTTTCTAGTTGTTCTAGGCGTCTAACCATATCTCCTCAAAGGCTGCCCTGGCATCCCTAGCTCCCAAGGCAGGGTTATTCTCTTGGGTACCAGTAAGATGCCACAGACTCTCAGCTGGTAGCGGGTCAGTGTGGAACCTATTTTCTTACTGAGCTTCCCGTCAAAGTCATTTCCCCTTGTCAGACATGCTACTCCTCCCATTGCAGGACAAGGTTGGACTAGATGACATCAATGCTGGTGACATTCTGTACTCTGTTTCATTTGGGGTCATTTCTTTTCCTTTTCCCCCTGGATACCTTCACTGCTGAGATAACACACAAGAGAACTTTTTGATCTTACATACTGATCCACATGATGTTCAGACATCGGTGGTCTAACCCTCCTCCCATTGGCCCTTCTCACTCTGATATGTGAAAACAAGGGATTTCATTTCTTGTCTTCCCATAAGCCCCTCACCCTTCCATCCTCAGGTTCCTGAGAACGACCCCCCTGCTCTGGCCCCCACCCCATATCCTTGGATGCCTTTTGTGTCTTCAACACACTGCCTGCTCTATACCACCCTTTTCCAGGAGATTCCAAAGCGCCTGGAAACCTTCACATAGCACAGGACTGTTCTGTTGTTCATATTGGGGCTACTCTGGATTTTTAAGACATAGCTCTAACTTTTTTTTAACTCTATCTTCTATCATCTACCTACCTATCTATCTATCATCTATCTATGTGTCATCTATCTATGAATCATCTATCTATCTATCTATCTATCTATCTATCTGAAATAAATTCATCAACCAAAGAAAATGTTAAGTACAACAAATCCTTAACACGAAATATCCAAGTAGGCAACACACTGGAATTCTTCTCCTCTGAACCCTAGTGGGCCAGGTCCCACGGTTCATCAAATCACAGCCAACGCCACTGTCTCCCATGTCCCTACTGGCATTGTGCAGTCCTTAAAGCCTTCTACTGTTTTTCTAACCCAGCTCTCAAAGTCTAAATTCCTCTGAACAAGGCTTTTCACAGAAATACCCAACCCCTAGTACCACCTTCTGTCTTAGTTAGGGCTTCTATCGCTGTGAAGAGACATCATGGCCACAGCAACTCTGACAAAGGAAAACAT